TGTATCAAATGATTGTATACAGGGTGTTCCATAAATACTGCAACACGTTTCTTATCTTGTAACTTCTCTCAAAGTGGACGTATCTTCAAGTGGTCACACACTATTCTTAGTCCGTCCTTAAGATGTTGAAAGGAATGACATTTATTCGATAAGTCTCCCTGACGCTGTGAGTATGGCTTCCAGTTGCTCCAAACGCAACTCTGGTGTTTCCCGCAGGGCATACTGGAGTTTTTCTTCGAAACTTTCTAGAGAAAAGGCTTCAGCTCCTCTGTTTGGATGCATTATTTAGTGCAGGCCCTGTCCCCTAATATAGCCCAAATAGGATGGTCCAGCAGGTTGAAATCGAGAGATATGAGAGCCATTTGTTTGAGGATGTGAAATCGGGAACAGCATCATGAGATCAGTCCTAAACAAATTTTTGCCCCTTATGCAGAAGCTGGCTACTTTTGAAAAGAATGTCATTCCTCCTTGGAGAAGCTAGATACCTTAGTAACGAATGGTGCACTGGAGCATTCGTTAGCTAGGTCTGTATCGAGTTTCATTCGCTTTTCAACAGTTGTGATGAGAGACCGGTAATTGAGACCCTTGCCCAAATCGTGATAAAGATTGGCTGGTGCTTGTGGCGAATATTTCTTTCACTCTCACTGGCTTCCACATGACCTCATGCGGGCACCTCGAAGTTTGAAGATTGTAGCTCTGCTCCATGTGAGGAATTTTGTCGTCGATGAAAACGGTGCCCGCGCGATCGCCGTTTTCGGCCCTCGACACCAGCTCTTTGAACTTTTTGTCTCTGCTGTGCTCCTCCCGTAGGATTGAGCAGTGGTGCTTATGCAACTTATAATGGACTGTGAGCAGTTGTTATCTGACCACTCTCTACATGACTGTGTTTAGAAACTCCAGCGTTCTGGTCACCTTTCTCGAGCCAACCCGGGTATTGCAGTCGTTTCGCTTCTTCATGCTTTTCCTGAGATCCAAGATGTCAGAACTTGTGGGGCGGCCGCAACAAAGACTGCTTCCATTGGTCTTCTCTTCAGTACACGGTAGGCCAAGGAGCGGTTGAAAATCCAAAGAAGCGCGATGTTAATCACCGGATGTCCGACCTAGCTGTATGAGGGATTAGGACCTCTTTTGGGTTTAGGTGCACCATGAGATGTACAACGAATGGTAAGCCGTGCACTTCGGCAAGGTTATTCACAAGAGGTCATAGGAAGTGAAGGTATGCCAACCTTGGGAAAAGACTACAGACACCCACACAATAGAAGCTCAAAATGTGTTGCAGTATTTATGGAACACCCTGTAAGAAACGACGTTAGCATTACGGGAGCGTCGCCCACGGCCGGTGTCGACTGCGGATCCAGTGAGCAAAAAAATGGATTCGCTGCAATTTGAGAGTGCGAGCCATGCCCTAGCGATTCGAAGGATCCACAAGCGAATTTAGTCCCTGATTCGTTGACGCATCGTTTACCAGGGTCAGCCGTCACGGTGGAACAAATCTCAAAAAAAATATTACGACCCCCCCCCCCCTCCCTTCTGGAGGGCCTCGTACGACCCGCCCCAGCTGTTACTATAGCGTTTGATTCTGAGACCAGTTGACACAGCCCAATTCCAGCCAACACTTCCTCCAAAATAGCCGTCGAGCGGTGAGGGGGGGGAACTAACAGTGGAATGGCAACTTTGCTAGCACTCATAAAAACGTAAAGCGTCACACTACAACCTCCGTTGGTGTAGGGTGTACCTCTGCCTTGCGGAAATACGACCCCCCTTTCGTCGGCCAAATACGACTCTCCTCGTTGGACTTTGTCCAACGGACGGTTGACCGGTTCGTACCACGGTCAGGCAAAGAACGCCCACTCGCTGGGCAAATCAATTGCGATTCATAGTAAGTCGCTGATTCGCGAAGTCTGACAGCTAATGTGTACGACATTATCTACTTGTATTGCTGACCTTCGTGCTGTGCCGTCTTGGGACATTTCTTTTCTCCTCGGCGTTCATCACCTCTCATGTCGCTGCCGATCCCTTACCTCCTTCACGCTTGCTTCATTGTCGAGCACTACTAACCCACAATTTTGAGAGCTTGGAGGGCGTGCTTTTGAAGGGAATCGTCGAAGGAAAAGTACTCTCTATGAACACCTATAAACGTCGAGTTTGGAGCCATACCCAACGAGAAAAACCAGAAAGTTTGCGCTCTCTATTGAGTAAAATGAAGATGCAGCGACTTAGCAACCATCCTACTTCGAAGGCTGCTCAGCTCCCTTTCTAGCGCCAAGTGAATGGTTTCGTTCATTCAACCAACTATTATGTGGCTAATGACTAGGGCCAGCTGGCAATCGCTCGTCACCCTAGTGTCGGAAGTAGACCCTCCTAGGACTATTGCTTTAATGGAGGATTTTAGGGTCTTTCTACCTATATGATCTCAAGAAAGTTATTCATGTCGAGATTATTTCGAATACATCTTTTCAATTCGATTTGAGCGATGGAGTTGAGTGTTTTATTTGGAGGGGGGGGGGAGACGGGGAGGAGGGGTGAGCGACAGTGAACCACACTTAACTTTGACAACTATAAAACGGGGGTGCTAACTTAGTTGGGGGGGGGGCACGCGGCGGCGCGGCAGTCTGCTCGCCTGGCATGTTCGGAAATCCGTGGGCCAGGGGGAGTGTAGCCAGCCTAGGGGGTTGGGGGGTGGGGGCAGTCACTTGACATGCGTGAAAAGCTGGAATGTTCGAGTTTACACTGTCTCGCTCGAGAGAGCCCAGGTGAGCAGACTGCCGCGCCGCCGCGTGGCCCCCCCCCAACTAAGTTAGCACCAAATCCGAGACTAACGTTTCAGGGAGGAGAAAGGATTCTGGAAGAGGACGTAGCAACCACTGTCCCTGGCGTTTATTCCCAATCCTAGGCTTAGAATCAGACAAATTTCATAGACGTGCCGTCAAAAACGAATGAATTTTGTGTGCTACGTGATTACGACCAGCGCAACTTCGGTACCATTTTCATGACGGCAGTGTTTGCCATTGGACCGAGGTCAAGATGCCGTCGTCGGATGGGTGCGACCTGCGTCGGACATCTTGATCATAAACATGTCGTCAGCACCACGATTACTGGCGTCGGCCACCCGATGGTCACTGAAGAAAAAGGTTTTTTTCTCAAGAACATTTCTTTTGACAAGGTTTACTTTGTCCTAGAAAATCAAATCGTTTTTTATGCGGCTAGTACGTGAATTTCTTGGGGTATCTTATTATTGTTAGTGGTGTCGTATTAGTGTTTGTAGTGGTTCCTGAAGCTCATTAATTAGCTCCAGATTTTTGTATACGGCGGAACAACGGTACTCCTCGGTAGTGGAGCGGCCATCTATCGTGCTGTGGATTCGATTGAGGATGTGAAACAAGTAGGGCTCATCAGGTTCGGGAGGGCAGCATTTACAGTGAGTTTTCTTTACATTAAACGGCACAGTCAAAGATTTGCCACGAAAATCCTTTTGTCGCACCATGAGCTCGATGGTGTGTTAGCCGTCATAAATTTATTTGAGTGATCATAGTTCTCTCTGATTTTGCGAGTTTAGGTGGGCAAAGATTGTGAGTGGATTACAAATCTCCCGTCGCTAAGGGGCGCTCTATAACCCAATCTGAGGAATACAATCTAGCTATCAAGCAGTGCCACAAGCGAAGTGCTTTGCGATTACTTGACTTGGCATGTGCAAATGGTGGTGTATTCATCAAGGTATCCTTTCGCTTAATGACTGACCATTATTAGCATACATTAATGAACTTGTTTTCTTTGTTTCGTTTTTCCTTCGTGTACACCTTCTTCCACTTTCAGCGCCTCATCGTTAAACACACCCTGGTCTTTGTTGTTTAGGTAGGACAACATTTGTCAGCGTTGGAATACCTAATACCCGAAGAGTACACTTCTACACTTTCCATCTTGACATCTAAAGCTCCAGAGGCAACGTATGAGGACGTAATCTATGTTGTTGAATCGCAGTTGGGTAAAAAGGTGATATTTTTGGTTAATCTTTCTGAGTGACACTTAACCCTTTCGGACCTGAATTTTTTTCCGTGGAGAAATTTTTCTTCTAGCTATTGTTTATTACTTGTGAGCATATAGGTATCATTATGGCGAAATTTGGAAGCTATTCGATCACAAACAAAGAAACTAGAAGCTTTGAAAATTGGCCCACCTTCTTAGTTTTTAAGCTTATGTCGAAACAATTTCAAATTTCATAGTTATGTCGAAAAAGTTTATGATCTTGCACAACATTATATCTAACGTTTTTGATAAGAAATTGAATATATGTCAAGTATTTTAGAAATGATTGACACTTACCTAGCGGCTTGCTGAGACCAGCGCCGATTCATTGTTGCACTTGTACACAAATACTTGTAATGCTAACAGCAACACACAATGAAATGGCAGGTTCAAAGCATAATTAGGAAGGGGAAGGTTGACTGAAGTAACCTCTAGCAGTGGGTAGTAGAAATATGCTGTTGCAGCGGTAATGTAGACCTTTGAATTTGATGGTGGCAATTGCCACCGCCAGGGGCGAAAGGGTTAAACTAGCCTTGCCTAGCATTGCCTTCCCCTTCATCTCTTCCACTCCTCAGAGAACTGATTTACATCAAGGAAAGAAGGAGGGGATTGTGAGCGGAACCTTTGCGAGAACAAAAGGGTATGCTGTTATCCAATAATTTAAGCTTGAACAATCCTGACCAATCTAATAAGAAGTTTTTGCGTTTTTCTTCCACCAAGTGTAGCCGCCCTACCATCTTATCAATGCTATCTAACTGCCGATGAGCCCTATACTAGTGACGCCTTGACTTTCATCATAAGTAAACGTTTCTTAGGTAGATGAGGTCTTCTCCGAATTTGCGGAAAAGCCGTTCGGAGCTGCTAGTCTTGCGCAAGTGCATATAGCGAGATTGAAGGTCAGTTCTTATCAGTGTTGTCCGCTTGTTTGGCTTTTTATATCCTCGGACATTCTAGGAAACGAATGAAAAGGTCGCAGTAAAAGTGCAACATCGGAGAGTGTTCAAAAACAGCCGTACGGACATAAATACCATGGATGTAAGTTGAGAGTATGGAGCTATTGAGTCTTTTTTATTTGCAGCATATTTTTTGTGCAATCTTTTAATCCAATGATTATAACTGATCGTGTTTTATCTCGATGCCCTTGCGCGACTAATTTGAAGAACCTAATGGTGTTAATCTCTCTAGACTCATTGACCTCTAAACTTGATGACGATCGAAACTGTTGTCATCTGGTGTAGCATTATCCATCTTCCTTTCCCTCTTTACCCCGACAGCTCCTAGTGGGGATCCTTCTTCGGAGCATACATTTATTTTAAATGAACTAACCACATCTGATACGTTTTGCTTTCACATTTTTGCCCACTCTTTCTCATTCCTCACCTTTATCGCTTCGTCTTTATATATGGCTTTAGGCTGAAAGTGTCCATTTTTTCCCTTTTATGATTGTTGTTTTCGTGTTCTCAAATTTAGATCTTTTGTTGTAGTTCTTGGTGAAAGTTGCGGATAAAGTGTTTCCGGAATTCAAGCTTATGTGGTTAGTAGATGAGGTCAAAAAGAACCTACCGCATGAACTTGACTTCATAATGGAAGCAAAGAATGGTGATCGATTAGCGGAAATGTTCAAACACCTCAAATTCCTGAAGGTGAGCCTATTTGCTGCAATGGCGCTGTTTTGTAATCTGGTTTTCTTTCCCTTCTATGGTATACTGTTTCGTTGACTGCTTTCAAGAGTTTGCCAATTTGATCATTATGAGGTACCATTACAGGTACCAAAAATGTTTTATGAGTACAGTACACCTCGGCTCCTTGTTATGGAATTTTGTGAAGGAGAACATATAGACAACATCGATTACATGATCAGAAACAAGATCAATCGTCCTGATGTGAGCTTCCTCGCTTCTTTTTCTTTAATTACTAACGATTTGGCTTTTTCCGAAAAGCTTTCTTGTTCTGCCCGTATGTATCGTTTTGGTTGCATAGCTTCATTGCTAAAATCATTTGGAGTGAGATTCTTAGCTATCATTCAAACATCTTACAGTAATGTTTTGTTCTTCAAAAAAAAAGCCCTAGCATTTGAAAAGCTTCTGTTCTTTGTAATGATCCCGAACAGCAGAATCAGTTGTTCACATTGCAAAACTTATTGCAGCTGCAAACGTTCCCTGTTATTATCTGAAAAGCGGATTCAGCTGTTTACATTGCGGACGTTATTGCAGCTTCAAAGAACCGGAAGACACGTGATCATGACTTCAACAAATGCCTTTTGCGGCCCAACAAAGACTTTTCAGGATACTTCGATTGAGACAAAAAAAACCAGATTATTATCGGATGAAAATCCAGCTTACATTAGTTTTTCAATAGAATGTGAATGTGAATAAGGAATTTTGATGTCAAAGCACGGAGCTTTGCTGGGATCTTGTCTTCTGTCAAAAATGTCAAGAAAATTTCAAGTTGTTAATTAAGCCTCATTTGCTGCGCAAGGGCGTTTTTTTTAACTTTTTCAGAAGGATACTTTCATTATTTTTTAGAGCGTTCTCGAGAGGGTATTAAAGATGCCTCTTGGGCAATATTTGCATAGAGATTAAGCTTCTGTGTTAGGTTGAGCGGATGTTGTCGAAAATCGCTGATCCTGTGCGACGGGCAGCTGTTTTACAGACTCGGGAGAGGCGAGTTCACGAAACTGTAAGCGAATAAAAGTTGGTGTCATCCTTTAAGGCTCAATCTGAACCAATTAGAAAAGAAGGGATATTTTCACACTCATCGCTTTAGTCTCCACTGATGTCTACGAGCATCTCGTAGAGTATTGCACGAGAGATGAGGCAGAAAATTTTGACTGTAGATTCGGTAATCTTCAAGTGTTGCTTTATCTTTACACTGGCCTGTACATCGTCTGTCCAGGCAAATTGGTGTACAGGCCCAATGTCATTTCAAAGGACCAATTGCTCCTAGAATGCCAACCGCTTGGCACATCAAACGGGCAATATTTATGCTCAAACATTTAAATTCGTAAAATAATTTCTTCTCAATTTCTGCCACACGCAGAGAAAGTTTTCATTTTAGTAATCTTTTTGAGTGGTTATATGTATTATTAATGAAGCCCATGTTCTGGGCATGACAGCTTCTCTATCCATGTGGTTTAAGGTTTGTCGGAAAATGGGTCGGCTGTATTCTGAGATGATCTTCATTAACGGCTATCTCCATGCCGATCCTCATCCGGGTAACGTACTCGTAAACAAGAAACCTAATGGCGATGTTGACATCGTGTTGCTCGATCATGGTCTTTATTTAGTGAGTAACTTAGTTCTTCTCGTGCACATTTCTTCTGTAAGTTCTCACTTTTTCAGGACATCGATGACCATTTTAGGGGACTCTACGCTGATTTGTGGCTCGCACTTTTAGCTCCAGATCCAGATAAACTCAGAGTAAGATTTCATTCGACACTATTTCCAGTAATCGGTTGTTCGCACTTTTCACATACTTTTCTATGGTTTGTTGCGGGAGGGTGTCGTTGTAGTGTTGGATTGAGATGTTTTTGATCCTTATTAGCTTCAATCGTTTTAGAGTGTCGCGACTGAGATGGGTGTTGGTGAGCTCTACGGCTTGTTTGCATGCATTGTTGCTCGGAGATCATGGAAGGCTGTGTCACAAGGCATTAAAAATAGAAAAATGGATAACAATGAGGTAGTCCAAGGTTTAGCGCATTATTTGCTGTACCACATTCTACTATGTGTAATATGAGACAAATGCTAAATATCCAAACAAAAAGTGCACTCATAATATTGCTGTATACCTTCAGAAGGACGAACTTCGCCTATACGCAGCGTCACTCATTCCCTCAGATCAGCGAGGTTTTACACAGAATGCCTCGCGAAATGCTCCTCATTCTGAAGACAAACGACTTACTCAGGAATCTTGAGCACGTGCTCGGACTAGAAAATCGCGCTGACGCACACATCGAGGTAAGCATTCGATCCATTATCGGTCATCAAGTCATATGTAGGTGTGTGAATCAGAAGTGAAATCATTTTTGCACGTTGTTTCAAGCCAAGTTGTTCGCCTGAGGTTTTGTTTTGCTTGCCTGTGCTTCCGGGGTCCATCCCAATACCTTAAGGCGGCTCCTCATACCATGTTTTCTCATGTTTTAAGCCTACCGTGCTCTTTTCAATAATCACACCGTGCTCTTCCGTGCCCCTATATGAAATAGTTAGTTTAGGTTTTTTATAGTCCACTGCTATTTAAGGTTTAGTTTTGATTAGAGCATTGACTGCAGAATTGCACAACAATTGCACAAATGTCAAGTTGTTCAGTTAAGTTGATCGTAAGACTCAATCTTTTCACCCTTTGAACCTAATGTCACAAACTTGGAGGAACGGAGGCTCATATGACCTGGGTGGAACTCGGTCGAGGTTCAATCAAGGTGATAGGTGCCGCCACTTGTCTCTGCACCATTTAGGCATTTTTCCCACAATTCCATTGTTCTATGTTACAAATAAAACCATGTTAAACAAATCGTTCCATTTCTTATAGATGTCGAAATGTGTAGTGCGGAGTCACTATGAGCTGAAACTCAAAGATCCCTAACAGAAGCCTTTGGGAGACGATCCAGATACGTCTGAGTTTGTTCTGGGCCCTGTTTAAGATTAGGTTCATATGAATGGTACCTCATCACAATGGACACATTTCCGTTTAGGTATTTGGCTTTGTAACTTACATCATCCCGTTGTAATTGTTAGCGTCGTACATATTATTGCTTCTCTTATGAATTGCCATAGCTTCACTTTACTTAGTCGCGCCTTTCCTGGCACGGCTCTTATTAAAGTGCGGTAAGCTCGGCGTAGGATCTACTGCATAGTTTTCTTCGGAATAGGTGTATCGGTGACAGTTGGACTGCCTAGAAGGGTGTTTACCTACCCGTTCAGGTAATCCTTCGTCTGGTTGTGTTCCTCACGTTTCTTTTTAGGGTTATCTCAATAGTTACATTGTTTTTCAAACCTCGTCTAGCGTAGTACTGTATTTTGCTGTCGAATGGACGTAAAGTAATTGGAGATTTAATTGTTTCAAAAATTCTAGTGAGCTGTGATATTATATGGTTTCATTTTTGTTCGCGATCAAGCAAGCAATTTGCTGTCTCCAAACCTCTCTTCAGTCAGATTTCTAACTATCGATGATAGAACTGTGAATGTTCGTTTTATCAGAGTGCAGTCATTTCGAACTGTTTAATTTGCCTTAATTCTCCTCATACATATGCCTTAAACCCGTGCACCTCATTTTTCATTTTGTTACGTATTATTATTGATTATATGATTTTATATGAAATTGTGATATTCGACCAGATACGCGATGTTGAATTCACGGTTCAGGATTAGCAATGGTAAGATTAGGTGAACAATAGGAGCGTACTAATAGGTCATGAGATAACATTTAACTGTTGTACATCATGTTGATTTCATGCTGAGATTCACATAAATAGTTCTGTATGATGTTTACTATTCGGTAGTAGTCTAACGCTCATTCGTTCTACATTCCTTAATTTAAACATAATTGCTCAGTCGCATCAGTATTAGTTAGCATATCCCTGTTCGCTGGATCACTGGTTGAGATGCAGGTATGTAAAATTTGATACAAAGCCCCACCAGCTGTGTCAAGATATTCTGAAGGGAAAGTTGCCATGGCTAGGGGATACCTGCAATTCGCGTGGTTTGTAGGAGGAAGCATTCATTCTTTCCACTTAGGCGTCCTCGATTACTGAACAGTGGATAAAAATGAGAAATAATGGGTGCCCTTCGGTTTCTTTTAGGAATTGTCTGGTACTCTACCTTTATTCAGCATAATGGTCAACTATTGTAAGAAGAAATAGGATAAACAAGAAACCCACAGTCCATCCTCGGGCTTCCACGCCCGGTAGCATATCATACATCTAGCGATTCGGCTCGATCCTTCATTATTTACGACGTAGAAGGTGGACTACGGCAGAATGTCGGGGGACGGACCAGCGATGACGAGACTCAACGGCTGGTGCGCTTCAGTAGCTTCCATTCACACGAAGGCAAAATCTGCATGAACCGTACCAAAATTAGGGAAACTTATTTACAAAACACACATTTGAAAGGATTTTCAAGCCTCTCCTCCACCATCCTAGCCCATCCCTGGAGTATGGATGGCACACCCCATGACTTTTTTAAGGCTGGTGTCAGAGTCCGCGATCCGTCGCAGGTTTCGCTGATTTTCGCGATTTGCGCGATTTTCGCGATTTTCGCGATTTGCGCGATTTGCGCGAAACCTGCGACGGATCGCAAAAATTGCAAGTGCCCCATTTGAACATTTGAAACACTGAATATGAAACAAGTGGAATCATGAGCAGTCGTCATTCACTATCAAGCAGAAGTGGCGGCTAGAACACTTGCAGTATTGATCGGGCACTTGTGATTTCCGTGACCCGTCGCGTGAATCGCGCAAATCGCTAAAATCGCGCAAATCGCGAAAATCAGCGAAACCTGCGACGGATCGCGGACTCTGACATCAGCCTATAGGAGGATTCGGCCAAGAACGACACTGGTGCTATATGATCGATATGATGGATGTTGCTTTTGTGACAGGAGCAGGACACAGTCTGGTATTGTGTCCCAGAAAATATGTTAGCATTTAAGGCCATTTAGCTCCACATCTCCACGTTTTGTGACTTCTATCTAAAGGGCGGAAGTGGTGTAGTGGCAAGTGGCACGCTTACCACGCGAGCGGTCCGGGGATCAAATCCTGGGTCGTGAGTCGCCCGGGCCAACCAAGCCTTCCATCCCTCCGGGGTCGGTTAATTGGTACCAGACTTGTCTGGGAGGATAAAAA